TGCTCGGAGTTTTCCGGAACTGGAGTCTTCCGGGTCCCACACCGGAAATCCCTCCCCTCGGAAACCCGGCCGTGATTAAAAGGTTCCGCCTGCCTTTGTCACCCCGGTGACACTCGCATCAAGTTCAAGGCTTTGACGCTTGCTTACAGATTGACCACAGGTTCAGCTCCCTCCTACTTCCACTCACTACTACAAGTCTACATCCCTACCAGAAGCCTACGATCGGTCAATGAGCGACGGCTAGTAGTACCATCACAGCGGGGCACAAAATCACTCTCCAGATCATTCTCATTCACGGTTCCATGCTGGTGGAATGATCTCCCCACCCTCATCCGGAATGCAGAATCCCTGACAGCATTCAAAAGGAGCACTTAACATAAAAAAAAAAAAAAAAAAAAAATCCTTTCCTCTAAATCCTCGCTTGCCTGGCTTATGCTACTCCGAGCTATGTCTGAACTTTGTATTTTGAGCACTTCTTGCGTTGTTTTTGCCTCTTCACGATGACTCGCTTGGTTTAGTCCTCAGTTGTAAGTCGCTTTGGATAAAAGCGTCTGCTAAATGACTAAATGTAAATGTAAATGTAAGAGAGAAATATTAATTGTATTTTATTTTTATATGATGAATTCCCGAAACTATTTTCCTATGAAGTAAAATACTTTCGGTTTCATTTTGTATTAAATACTTATACGAGTGAGTCATGCAATGTTATTGTGGTTAGGAACTATCAATTAAGGTGTTTCGTTAAGTGGGACGCTTATCAGTGTTGCGCGCTATGCCTTTAGAGCAAGGGGGTAATCCATCAGCCGGAAACTGAAGCTTCCCTTGGGGGCCGCCATTGGAGCAGACCATCACCTGCTGTTAGCATTGACTCCCATTCATTTTGGCGTCACATTGACAGCGAATAACTTTACATCTGAGGCGTCCAAATACTCCATTTGCCCATTATTTATTTCTAAAGAAACACGACAATGTAAAAAAGGCTCCATTACTTTGTATCTTACGTTATGGCCCCGTCTAAGCCGTTTTTGTAAAAATAGGCTAACGATTGTGCCATAACCACGCAACTCTCTGTCGCACAGTAGAGAAATTACCGTATAGACAGGAGGAGAAGCTTGCGCGCAATTGGGGGGACGTGGAGGCATAAAGTCAAGGGAGAAGCCCATAGAGAGTCATAAAGTTGCTCCTGCTGCGAGCTCATGGACAGCTCCTACTCACGCTCTCTGTCTCTGCAAGATTCCGAAGGGAATGATTCAGATTCCTCTTTGCACAGCTACTAGAAGACTTACAATGGTCAGACAGGTTGCTCATGTCACATCTACGTCATCAAGCTCAGTTTGAGCCTGCGCAGTACGCTCAGCCATCAGGAAGGGAGTGCTTCTAATTGGCTTCACTTTTCTCCGTTGAAGTTTATGGGGTCGCTGTGACCATTTCTTTTACTGTCTATGCTTTAGAGAGTGCATGAGTTATGTCAGCTTCAGATAGCAGATGGATGCTGGCGAGGCAAGACACACTTGTTTTCTTCTCACTCTTCCCACTTAATATTGGTATGTTTAAAAGTGTTCATTCGGTTTAAGTTAATTTAAATATTAAGCACAATGTGTTACTGAATTGATTATACACTATGTTGTGTATTGTGAGTTTTATGTGACTTTTATCTGACGCACGTTAACTAACTAGTGATTCAATTTAACCAGTATAATGTGATCTAATTTATGGAATTTGGGTCTATAATGTACATTTGGATTGTGCTTTTGAACAAATGTATTCTATCTTCATTTCTCATATTCGGTAATACATTCTATTGTTCAACTTCCAACTATTACGCTGGCCTTGCGGTTCTATTAAGTATAATGTGAAGGTGCCTGATGTTTTGAGGGGATATTTGTTTGTCGATCTGTACAAACATTATACTTAAATGTTATTACTGATATGTTTGAAGAATACACATCCAGCCATTTTATTACTTACTTTATTTTTCCTTTAACAACAGTAATGGATTATTTTATTTAATGTGTAGGCTACTACATAATGTTAAACATGTATTCAATGGAGTTACATCAGCCTGAGATCGCAAATGGACGCTGGTGAGGCAAGTAGCACTTGTTTTCTTCTCACTCTTCCCACTTAATTTTGTGTATAACGTGGAAAGAGGTTGGCGCAAGAGTAATATTCTGATCAAGTTGTCCCATATGTTTCCAGGGTCAATAAATACAGTCGTTTTTGAAGCCATCCTGCTGTCTGCTGTGTGGAATTCCTTATGTACAGAACTCTAGACGACAACATCAATTAGTCAAAAGTCTTGTGGACACATATTTAGTATGTGTTTTGTGGCCTTATTTCAGAAACTTTAATTTTTAGTTTTTTCAATAACCATGCATACAAATTATTCTCTCAAAAATACAAACATATACATACATGTTGCTCACATATTATGGTAGCCTTGTTTGTGCTAAATAGAGTGTAATTACACCTTTGCCATTAATATGTTTATAAGCAACTGAAAAAAACACTTATGTCAGGGCATGTCAAAACATCTCAAGGACCCCAAAAACACCTTAGACCCCAGAGGGTTAAGGAAAATGACTCTGATCTTATACGCACAATCAAATCAAAGATCCTGGGGTATAGAGGAAAAATACCATGATTGTTTAAATTGTTTACAATTTGATTCTTTAAGAGTAAATTGTGGTTGAGCAAACCTGATTGTCCTCCACAAGAAAGTCTCCCTATACCACCCCTGCAAAGACCTATAGCTTCTTCAAAGCAGCACAAAGAAATGAGGGGCCACCAGATCCAATCTCACATCAAGAACAAGCTGTCAACCAGGAGCCTTACCAGTCTTACCTGTTCTCAAGCAACACTGGCAGTGAACATGACCCCTTAGTCAGGTAGAATACTACATGTATTTGCACAGGCCAGGAGATACCTTTACATTCCTGCAACCATCAGTTTCCCTTCTGGAAGGGTTTTAAGCACAGGGGGTAGTCTCTAGTTGTCATTCTGAAGTGAAGCCACAAAATGTTGATAGGCTATAGTGTTTCTTGCTAAAAAGGTCTAGTCTGGTATAATACATTTGAATGTTGTCAGTGTTTAATGGCAATTTTAGTATTTTTTTTTATTAAAATATTACTTTTTTATTGGATTTGTTTAAATTTGACTGAAGCAAATAGTATTATCTCTTATTTTAATGATATCTTGTTTGGTAACCTAATGTTCAGGGTTTGTAAATAAAAAGTTGAAAAGAATCATCTTTATGGTAAGCAAAAAAAATTGTGATACTCATTTTATCCAGAATCGTGCAGCTCTTCTCAAAGGCTAAATTCAGATAGCACACATACGTCTCCAAGATGTCTGTTAAAAAGCAGTTCATCTGGAAAGCATCTGCTGTGTACAAACATCTGATAAACATCTTTAAAAAGTCAGTTTTACATACATTCTAAATCCAAAACATCTTTAAAATCTAGATGTCTATGTAACATCTGACAGGAAATGTCTTAGAGAAGTATTGCATATGAGCAAACACTCTAAAAATACATCTTACAGATGAAAACATGCTCATCAAATTGACGTCTCTGATACGTGTGCTTTAAGTGTCCTTGTCAGTTTGGGAATTTTTTTTGTACAGCCTCACACAAACACTTTTGGTCAATCAATCAATGCAGAGAAACTTTTTATTTATTTATTATTGGTGCTACATGACTAGAGAAAACAGATAAAAGGGTTCCATTTTTGCCAAAACTTAAGAAAGTGCCGCCACTCTGTCGATCCAACTGTCCATGGGACGGAATGCAAAAATGCTGAAGTTCAATCTTTAGTTTTAACAAGCCCTGGAGCTGTCAAAAGTCCACAGGGTGACACAAAATAACACATTGTTCTTCATATTTTGTTGACAAATAAACAGCGATATCTGGGTGCAGGTAACAGAGTACACATTGTTCATTTACATAGCCTACAATATACAGACATTGTAATAGCTGGTTGACAATCCTTAAGACTATCTGCTCAGCATTTCTGCAACCATTAAGCCATTCAAAAAGAACAAAACTGCACAAACTTCTCTAGACAACAATCATTCATTACAAAATGTTCCCTGACATGAAAATAAAGTGCCCCTAAAAAAGCCTCAGTCTAAACCATAAACTAGCCCTAAACTATAACCAAACCAAAAGCACTTTCAACAAAAACGGCAAAACAGTGAACAAAACTAACCAACACTCAAAAACTGCTACATGTCAAAACAAGATTAAACAAACAAAAGCATGAAAGATGGGCAAAACTATTACAACAATTTTCTATTATCAATTACGCTATTATGAGAACTTTTTTATTATTATTAGTTTTAAGTTTAGTTATTAATTTACAAAACATCGACATTTCTTATAATTATTGCAATTCAACCAGTTCAATTTCAAAGTTAAATTTGTTTAAAAACTTAACAGGATCCAAAATTCACAAACGGCACATACACTGATGTAAAACACAGCTCAAACCTTGAACAGCATTCTTTTCAATATCAACCAACAATCCAACTGTGGCTGTCAATGACACCGTATAATAATACAGATACAATAAAACACATTCCACTCCATTTCAACATGACATTTAAATAATCGTCATTTGTAAAAAGCAAGAAGATTAATTGTAGCATCCTACCAATCGATCCTTTGCTTTGAGTGGCTTCATATTGAATCCAGAGCAAAGGTACAAATCCTATCCCAGTCTGAGCGCATTCGTAAAACCAAATACGATGTCCGTTAAAGTTACCAAGTGAACAATTCCATCTCAAAATGTTTAAAATTTTTGTATGTCTATTTTTTCCTCATCAAATACTCAAACAAATATTTTGCAATCCCCGCACCCCCAAAACCTCTATGATTTAGACCACTTCTATTATTGATTGTTATCAGGATGTGAAGAGAGTTTTAACCAGTGTAACAAAAAGTGTTTATAAAAAAATTGCCTACCCTACCTTTAATGCTAAATACTAAAGCACAATGTTTTTATGATGAACAGAGGCAGAACAGCTTTCCAGTTCGTTGCAAATAAAGAAAAGGCTGCAAAAAACCAGTCAACACATAACAAACAAAAGCAGGAAACCAATAGTCATTAATTTCCTGTTTAGTTAGAATGATATATAATCCTGTGATAGTAAATGGGACATTTTGGATAATCATATTCACTGTTGTTAATAGAATAAGAAAAAATGCTCTTTTCTTCATGTTTTTTTTTTCCTCTCTCTCTCTCCCTCTCTCTCCTGGTCCTGACTGCTTCAGAGCTCTGAGAACAGCCACAAGACAAAACAACTGGATGGAAAAGTAGAGGAGGAACACTGTTGAGAAAAACCATACATATGCCTCTCTGTTGACTGAGGCTGAAAAGATGCAGAATAAACAAGAACCAAGAGTGATTATCCAGACCGCAGTGCAGCAGATCACTCTATATCTGAGAGGTTTGTACTTCAGAAAGGTTACAGGATGAACCACTGCCAGGTAACGCTCAACACACATCAGACACTGAAACAGAGGACGGCCAGTGATGGAGAGTCCTTGCACAAAATCTGTTAGTATTTTGAAAAGTGAAGAAAAGTGTGACAGTAGACCAAACACCGCATTAATACTGTTACCAATCTCACAAACAGAGAGATTGAGGTTGAAGAACTCTGATGCGACTCCACTTCCCGTTCCTGTGACAATGAGCCATATAATATAGGAGTGTGTAGGAAGACCAAAAAGGAAGCAGATGCTGTATGCACACATTTCCAGACTCTCCAATAGTCTAATATCAGTTGTGGAGTTTGTGGATGCTGCAGGTGTGGTGAAGTTCCCTGTAGAGATATTCATCCTCTCATCTCAGGAAGTCACACATTATTTTTTAAATGATATTGCAACTGTGGCATACAGGAAGAGAGAAGGATAAAAGTATTTCAGAGTACTCGAGAGTTAACTGAAATGTAAAGGTTTCCAAAAAGTGTGTAATTCAACTCAATTCTAAAGAAACATTCCAAAATTTTAACATTTGGGTAATGCAAGTCACCACTGTGGGTCATTCAGCACTACAATACATATATGACTACCATAAGCGTAACAAAATCCAATATTACATCACTTGAACATGATCATGAAAAATACAGTTCCCTTTCGTATGGGAACTCCTCCGACGAGACGTCTCCGTTCCCTACTCAGGGAACGAGGGTTACCATACGTAACCGAGACGTTTTTCTTTTATAGCCTGTTTACATGATCCGATCAGTTCTATAAGTCATATAATGGCTCACACTTCTATTTTAAAATCTATCTAATAAGACAAGTCTCAGCCCTGTATTATTTAATATCTAAACCATATTATGTGTTCATAATCCTTATACAATATATTATAATTCCAGCAAAATGTTGACTATTATTGAATTGAAAACAACAAAATGAATCAAAAGTTAATCACCTGCAGAGTGAATGTCCAGTCTCTCTGGATGTGTATACATCTCTGTGCTGTGTTTTATAGACTGACTTCACAGACTGACTGACACAAGAACATATGTGCATAACTTCATCTGCTATGCATCACATGAAACACCAGATATGCAAATAGTAAAAGTAAAGTAAATAATAATAATAATAATAATAATAATAATAATAATAATAATGAAAAAGACAATTAAAAGTTTTATGAAAATTTAATTTTAATGCTTACTACACTTTATTTACATTCATGCAGTAAATGACAATTTTGACAACCATACAATGTGAGATAATGCCCTGAATAAAGGCAGGGACCAGTATGAAAAGTATCTAATCAATACACTCTTAAAAATAAGAAAAGTAATGGAAAGGTTCCATGGGTGATAAAGGTTCTTCATGGAACCATAGATACCAATAAAGAACATTCAACATCCATTGAAACTTTCCATTACACAAAAGGTTCTTTATAGTGTAAAAATGATTATTTCGATTTTTTAAATGTTCTTCACACTAAAAATGTGTTATTGTAAGAACTGTTTACTAAAAGTATTTGGGAAACCAAAAATGGCATCGCTGTGAAAACCCCCTTTGGAAACCTTTATTTCTCTTTGGAGAAAAACTTTTCTCTACAACCATGTTTTATGTTTTGGCATTTTATTAGACATGACTGGCTTATGTTGAATCAAGATTGAAGTCGTTTACCAAGTAATATTCAAATAACATTTATAAACTGACAATTTAGGCCTTTAAAATATTATTTATGTAAAAAAATCATCTCAAACAATATTCAAAAATCTAAAACTGGCCTCAGGTGCAACACATTTAACTCCTGCGATGCAAATTTTTAGAGTGATAAATGTGTGTGTGATGGGATTTCAAGTTTAAAAAAACAATCGCTTCTGTTAAATAGAAAAAAAAGGCAACACTGCTTTATCAGTGAAGAAGTGTATTGGAACAACAAATAACAACTATATAAAACAGATCTCTCTAAATGACATATGCTCACATTAACATGTTTTATTGTCATGGAAAAACAATTTCCTAATGTCCTAATTTTCCTGCCAAAGATATAAAAAATAAAATAAAAAGGTTTAGTAATTTAACTTATTATTGAACAATTGATGGAGAGCAAAGGCAGGAGAGTTTTCCAGTCCGGCGCAGGTAAAGAACAGGCTGAACAAAACCAGCCAGTATATAAAAAATAAAACCAAAAGAAAAAAGTTCCTTAATAAAGTGTTGCATCAGAATGAAACAGAATCCTGAGATAATAAATGGCATATAGATAATAATCATGCTCACAGTAGTAATTAAAATAAGATCAAATGCTCTTCTCTTCATGTGGTTTTCCTCCTCTCTCTCTCTCCCTCTCTCTCCTGGTCCTGACTGCTTCAGAGCTCTGAGAACAGCCACAAGACAAAACAACTGGACGGAGAAGAAGAGGAGGAACTGCAGTAAGAAGAACCATGGTAGCATATGACTGTTTTGTGAGATTTCAATAAAAAAACTATAGAAACAGGATCCAAGAGTGATTATCCAGGCCACAGTGCAGCAGATCACTCTATATCTGAGAGGTTTGTACTTCAGAAAGGTTACAGGATGAACCACTGCCAGGTAACGCTCAACACACATCAGACACTGAAACACAGGACGACCGGTGATGCCTAGCCCTAATAACAAATATGTTAATGTCTTAAGATGTGAAAACCAATCAAGTATACAGAACAAACAATTTAGACTGCTACCAAGCTCACAAACAGAGAGATTGAGGTTGAAAAACTCTGATGCAACTCCACTTCCTGTGATGATGAGCCATATAACATAGGAGTGTGTAGGAAGACCAAACAGCAAATTGATGCTGTACAGAAAAATGTCCAGTCTGTTCACTAACCAAAAGGACTGAGTTGTGGAGTTTGTAGATGCCTCAGATGTGGTGAAGTTCCCTGTAGAATTATTCATCGCCTCTGTCTTTGTCTTCTCAGTTCAGTAACACAAGAAATAAGTATTAAAAAAAATCTGGCAACTGTGATCAACAGGAAGAGAGAAGTAGAACTGTAATTCAGACTGTATGAAAAAAGTTTGAAGGTTTTCAAACAGAGTGTAATTCCATTTCATTATAAATAATAGGAACAATTCAATATTAAATGTCTAACAGTCACACGTCGTTTTAATGCAAGTCACTTTCATACACCTAATTCTGCACTACACAACACCTAAATAACCGAATTGCAATCCAATATTAAATGACTTAATAACATGCAATTATTATTTTAATTAAAAAAAGGTAGTGTTTTACTCTAGGTTTCTAATACGATTAAAGTCCCCTTAAATATTTCCCCTTAAAAAAATTAACAAGTAGATCTCAACAATCACCTGAAGGGGTGGATGCTCAGTCTCTCTGGATCTGTAAATCTGTGCTGTTTTGTAGACTAACTTCAAAATAACAGCTGTCATGTGCATGAACCAGATATGAAAATATTACCAGATATGGAAATATTTTAAGTAAACATGAACTAGAAGAAGATGGATAGCCTTATGAGTAAACATAGGGGGGGAAAAATACATCTTAGTTCTAAGTAGAAAGTTGCATGTTGAATGCTTACAAGACCTCAATTATATTAATGCAAAAAACAGCACATGTGTGGGACCATCTTTAAAAGTGCACTGTGTAACTTTCGACTCTCTAGCGGTTATGAAACAAAACGTACTCGGTTACTAACGTAACCTCGGTTCTCTCTAGAGAGGGAACGAGTACTGCGTAATAGCTTACGCTAGGGGAAAAACTCTTTTCCACGAGATATTGAAGCCAAAAATTATCCTTAATTTTTTTATTAATGTAAAACGCTTTGCAGCAGCAAGCAGACATAGGCGAAACAGCTCGCGCGCCTATTGGTTGCTCTGCAGCAAATGCAGCAGCCTATCGAGAGAGACTCTGCGTGACGTAATGACCAATGGGGGCAATTCGCGCCCATATCTTCACGTCCCGCCAGAAGGGGCGTGGTCTCACCCTATAAATATGCTCGTTAGGCTGGTACAAGCTGGTTTTTATCGCTGAAGCGAACCAGAGCGTATTCCAAGCACGGCAAGATACGTAGTACTCGTTCCCTCTCTAGAGAGAACCGAGGTTACGTTAGTAACCGAGTACGTTCTCTTACGAGAGTATCTCTCGTACTGCGTAATAGCTTACGCTAGGGGAACACAATGCAACACGCCGTGCGTACAGGGATCCAACACCAAAGTCCCGGGGGCCGAAGCCCAGGGCTCATGTAGTGCATAATCACCAAAAACTCACATAGAGTGGAGGAAGAGAGGCTGGAAGCGTCATTCCCTATAAAAAAGCACCCAGCGGGGCTATCATATGACAATAAAACGCGCAGCCAGGGTGAAAGCTTTCAGCCTGATCTGGGTGGCCATACGTGTGTCAACACTCATGGGGCTGCAGTAAACTCAGCATCTGGGCCGCACAGCGGGGCAGATAGCACTGAATTTTAGACCGCCAAAAGCTTAGCTTGTAAGGCGGGTACCTCCAGGTTATAGTATTTTATAAATGTAGACGGCGAGGCCCAGCCCGCGGCCGTACAGATATCTTGCAGGGAAACCCCGCTCGACCACGCCCACGAAGAGGCCACGCCTCTCGTGGAGTGCGCTCTGACACCCAAGGGGCACTGTAGGCCCTTCGCAGAGTAAGCGAGCGCAATGGCATCCACTATCCATCTGGATAGGCTCTGTTTTGAGGCGGCGAGTCCCTTGGAACGCCCGCCAAACAAAACAAAAAGCTGCTCCGTCTGTCTGAAAACAGACGAGTGTGACACATAAGCTCTCAATGCCCTGACGGGGCAAAGGAGACTCGCATCTTCCTCCTCACTGAGAACCGGAAGGGCCGACAGGGAAATTACCTGGGCCCTGAACGGTGTATTGAGGGATTTCGGGACATACCCGTGCTTTGGTTTGAGAATGACCTTCGAGTCATTAGGCCCAAACTCCATACACGACGCGCTTACTGAAAGCGCCTGTAAGTCCCCTATGCGCTTCACTGAAGCGAGAGCCATGAGAAACACTGTTTTGAACGACAGGTGTTTCATGTCCACCAGCTGGATTGGCTCGAACGGGGCGCCTTTCATGGCCTCCAGGACCGTGGAAAGGTCCCACGTCGGGACTGAAGGGGGCCTGGGAGGGTTTAGCCTCCGAGCTCCCCTAAGGAAACGCACGACTAAGTCGTTTTTCCCCAGCGACTGGCCAGACACCGGTTTTGCAAACGTAGCTATGGCCGCCACATATACTTTGAGCGTGGATGGGGTCCTGCCCTTATCCAGTAGCTCTTGAAGGAAGGAAAGCACTTCCGAAACCCCACATTCCACAGGTGAAAAGCTCTGGGCTTGACACCATGCAGATAAAACAGACCATTTCGAGGAGTAGAGCCGCCTGGTAGACGGAGCTCTAGCCTGCGCGATCGTGTTTAACACTCCTTCTGGGAGGCTAGGGGGTACCCGTTGATGGCCCATGCGTGCAGGGACCACAACTCCGGGCGAGGGTGCCAAATCGAGCCCTCCGCCTGAGAGAGGAGGTCTCTCCTCAATGGTACAGGCCATGGGGCAGTGCTGGTCAGCTGCATCAGGGCAGGGAACCACGTCTGGTTTGTCCAGAGCGGAGCTACGAGCAGCACTGGGCATCCGTTCTCCCTGATTCGTTCCAACACCTGAGGCAGGAGCGAGACAGGAGGAAAAGCATATAGGGGGCAGCGGGGCCAAACATGAGCCAGCGCGTCCTTGCTTTTCGAGAAAAACTCCGGGCAATGAGCGTTTTCGTGGGACGCGAATAGGTCCACCTGTGCTCTGCCGAACGTTTTCCACAGCAGCTGGACCATCTGCGGGTGCAGCGTCCATTCCCCTGCTGGAACATTGTTCCTGGACAGTCTGTCTGGTCCCACATTCAGGTGACCAGGCACGTGCGCTGCTCTCAGTGAGAGCAAGTTGTGCTGAGCCCAGACCAGGAGGCGTTCCGTCAGCCTGTGAAGGTTTCGTGACCTGACGCCGCCCTGGCGATTTATGTATGCCACCACTGACATGTTGTCCGACCGGACCAAGACGTGGTGGCCTGTTACCTGGGGACAAAAACGCCATAGCGCTTTGTCGACTGCTATCATCTCCAAGCAGTTTATGTGAAGGAGCTTTTCCCGTTCTGACCACAGGCCAGCTAGCGGTCTGCCCTCGAGCAGCGCTCCCCACCCCGAGGTGGAGGCGTCCGTAGACACCACCTTCACACTGGAAGCGGTCCCCAGACTCACACCTGACTGATACCAGTCGGTTATTTTCCAAGGTTCCAGAGCTGAAACACACTGAAGGTCGACCCTGAGGCGAAACAGACCCGCTGTCCATGCCCTGGGTGGAACCCGCGCTTTCAGCCACATCTGCAGTGGGCGCATGCGGAGCAAGCCCAACTGGAGTACAGAGGCTGCTGAGGCCATCAGCCCCAGCATTTTCTGAAACCTTTTGAGCGGAACTATCGCGCCGTGGCGGAAGGATTTCGCGCCGCGCTGAATATTTAGCCCGCGCTCTGGTGACAGGCGTGCTGTCATGGACAGCGAGTCCAACACGGTTCCCAGAAAGGAAATTTTCTGACTGGGAGACAGTGAGCTCTTCGCCCAATTGACTGTGAGGCCCAGCTCCTCGAGGTGCTCGAGTAATGCGGCCCTGTGTTCCATGAGCTCCGATCGTGATCGAGCTAGAATCAGCCAATCGTCCAAGTAGTTCAGGACTCGCATGCCCTGAAGTCTCAGGGGTGCGAGCGCCGCGTCCATGCACTTCGTAAATGTACGAGGTGCTAGGGACAGGCCGAACGGCAGGACTGTGTATTGATATGCCTGGCCCTCGAAGGCGAATCTCAAGAATCGCCTGTGATGGGACGCTATTTGTATTTGGAAATAGGCGTCTTTCAGATCTATCGACAGAAACCAGTCCCCGTGGCGCACTTGCGCGAGGATTTTCCTGGTCGTAAGCATTCTGAACTGGCGTTTCACAAGCACTCTGTTCAGCTGTCGTAGATCTAAAATGGGTCTGAGACCCCCATCCTTTTTCGGTACCAGAAAATATCTGCTGTATAGGCCCCCTTCGCTCTGAGCCTGAGATAAAGGTTCTATAGCCCCTTTGCTCAGTAGTTTCGCTATCTCGGCACGAAGTAGATGAGACACTTCGTTTTTCACCGTAGTTTCGACACGCGCCGTATAACGGCGCGGGCGTCGAGCGAATTGTAGCGGTTAGCCTCTCTTTATAGTGTTCAGCACCCATTCTGATACCCCGGGAAGCTTTGACCACGCATCTGCGTGAATAGCTAGAGGCAGAATGAAATCCGGGCTCCGGCCGCGACAAAACGGCAGCTCGAGAGCCCGGGCATACTGGGAACACAACACCGTATTTACAGCGTTCGAGGCGGGTGGCGCGCTGATCACAGCGGGCGGCCTGGCCGCGCTCAGCTTTTTTATGGCAGATTGTGCAGAAAAAGCGAGCGGGGGAGATCCCGTAGGAATCGGCGTGTCTGTGAGAAAATGTGGGCGCGGGGCTGCGGGCACATTTATTACACTGAAAACATTGTCGGTCATGGCCGACTGAATGTGTGTTGGTTTCGTTTTTACAGAAACCAAGGGACACGCAGCATGTAGTGTGAGCGGGCATGGTGACATGGGCGCGTTTACTACATTGTTTGCACAATCGACCTGAGTCGATTTTATTTGTGCTAGCCCTGCACCGTGGCGGGCTGTGTCTGGGTGTGGGAATGGGCACTGGGTGGGCATTCTTACAACACTCATAACACCATCGGCCGTGGCCGGATTGTTTGTGCGAGCCCTGCATTTTTGCGGGCTGTGTTTGTGTGTAGAAATGAGCCCTGGGTTGTAGGCATTTTCAATACACTCATAACCAGAAAATACACCATTTATGTGATTTATCTGGGTCGCCGTGGGAACA